CAGCATGGTACTGGTACAAGAACAGACTCATAGACCAATGGAACTGAATACAGAAATAATTATAGATTTTTATTAGTAAACAAAAACTTGATAAAAAACATTTATCTGAGGTTGAAAATGCATTATATATATACAATTTGTCTTCTTATGACAGACTACAGTTATTAACTCCACAGCAAATAAACAGACACATTCCAAGCCTGCTGCTTAACCCCAGACTGCACTATGGTATGACTGTTTTCAAGTATTTACTAGGAGATCTTTTTTAAATTAACTTTTAAATGAGTTAAATTAAAGAAAATATGCTTTACATGCTATGACAAAATATCATATTTTCTTAACTATGAAGAGCAGTAATTACATCTTTAATAAGCGTTTTATTTTTAAATAATTTTATACTTGCAGATGTCTTAATTCATTTTTCATTGCTATAAATGACTATCTGAGGCGGAGTTATTTGTAAAGAAATTGATTTGTCTTACAATTCAGCAGCCTATACAAGATGCATGGCACCAGCATCTGTTTCTAGTGAGGACCTCAGGAAATATTCAATCATGGTGGAAGGGGAAGGGGAGCCTGCATGTCGCATGAGAGAAGACGTGAGAGAGAGAGTAGGTGCTAGGCTCCTTTTAGCAATCAGCTCTCATGGGAACTAAGAGAGTGAGAACTCACTCATTAACTCAAGGACAGCACCAAATCATTCATGTGGGTTCTTCTCCCCCATGACTGAAACACCTCCTCCCGTGCACCACCTCCAATATTAGGTCAGATTCCAGCATGAATCGTGGAGTGCTAAGCATCCAAACTATGTAAGCAAAAAAGCTTCAGAAATAGTATGGAGAATTCCCATATACCTCACATCCAGTTTCCCCTGTTTTTAATACCTTATAACTACAGTTACGACTCAAAATTGATACATTATTATTGAAAGTCCAAACATCATTCAGATTCCCTTAGTTTGCTTTAAAGTTCTTTTTTTCTGTCCTAAGATCCCATCTAGGATACCACATTATGGTCAGTTGTCCTGTCTCCTTAGTCTCCCTTTGTCTGGGACAGTTTTTTCCAAATGTCCTTGTTTTTGATTACCTTGATCATCTTGAGGAGAACTGGCCAAATATTGCGTAGAATTTTCCTAAATTTGGGTTTGCTGATGGTTTTGTCATAATTAAACTGGGATTATGGGCTTGTTATAGGAATGCCACAAAAGTAAAATGCCCTTCTGATTACATCATACCAAGAGTACATGCTACCAACATGATTTAGCACTGTTGATGTTAACATTGATCGTCTGACTTGAGGTGGAGTTTTTCATGTTTCTCTATTGGAAAGTTACTACTTTTCCCCTCTTTTCCTTATTGTATTCTTTGAAGGAAGTCCCCATGCTCAATGCTCAGCCCATCCTTAAGGGTTTGGTAATTATTCTCCAACTTTTTGAGGCAGGAATGTTTATATGAATTATTTGAAATTATTTTGAATTTAAAGAGAAAGTTTATGTGTTATCCCTGACTTTTTAGTAGTTTAGCCAGTCATCTAGATTTGTATGTGATCTTGGTTATGTATTTTATACTTTGGGTTTAATCCAATACTTTTTGTTGTTGTTACTCAAATTTTTCCAGCTTTGTTTGACTATTGGTAGCTCTTTCAGTTGGCCCCTGTGTGCCTTTGAAATACCTTCATTACTGTGGGGTTTTTGTTCGGTTTCATTTTGGGGATTGGTCTTTCTGTTTGTTTTTTCATTTGTTTTTAGCATGTACATACTTTCTTATACTACAAAATGTTCCAGGAAAGAAATAATTGCATTTTTTAAAGTGCCAGCATAAACTTAATAGTCTGGAGCAACTTATTACTAAGATCAGAACCATGTGTTTGCCTTCCTTAGCAAGCAACCTTTCCTCAATTTAATGCATATAGATAATACTCCTAACTCAGATCTGATATTTTGATTAAAAGAGATAATTATAACAAGTGCCATAAGTAATCTGAATGAATGTTAGAGATAGTAATTGTGTGTTTTATTTACCTCAATGTGCCATAAGGAAAGGTGATTGATTAAAAATATTTTTTTAAAGTTTTGCTTCATTCTATACTTACATGATTGTTTCTATATACTAGATATCCTCAAAAAAAGCAGTTTTCATGGGAGGATGAAAGACTTTTAGAATCCAAGAAGATTCTGTCTCATTACCTTTTTTCTATCATATCTTTGTTAGAATGTACAGTTTTAATCAGGTAATACTCCTGGGAAGTAAAAGTTGCATGAAGGAAGAAAACATTAATAGATTTCTTCAAACAAAAATATGAAATTATTCCAGGAGTATTATAATAAATGGAGTTCTAACAGAAACACCTGGATATGCAATGTATCATTAACAAGTTATTCATAATTGCAATTATTTCCTAAAAAAAAAATGAGAGATCAGTGAAGTGAAACATTTGCATAGTTCAAATCAAGGTACAAACATGAAGGGATTCTCTATTTTTTTGTATGAAAAATTATTTTCTCTATAATCTGAGTCATTTTCAATTTCCTACACAGTATTATTCTACATCATTTTATATGTGAAATAATTAACTCTCAATCAACTAATCTAGCTATTTTCATGACATAGCTCCGTCTTCTTTTAACTCCACATCACTTTTTATCTTCCTGTTGTTTTGTATAGAAATATTTGGAATAGTAAAAACAAATTTTTTAATGCAGAAGACTTGTCTCTCAATCCATTTGCTTGAGAAAGCTGAGTTTTAAGTAACCATCTCTCAACGAGAATAAAATTAGTGTTTGTGAATACTTTTTTACAACTGAAACTCCACCTTCCTCCCTTCCTTTCTCTCTCCCTCCCTGCCTTCTTTCCTTCCTTCATTCATTCATTCTTTCCCTCCCTCCTTCCTTCCTTCTTTCCTTCCTTCCTTCCTTCTTTATTCTTCCTCCCTCCCTCCCTGCCTCTGTTTCTTCTTTAATCCATTCCTTCTTTCCTTCCCTCCTTCCTTCTTTCCTTCCTTCCTTCCTTCTTTATTCTTCCTCCCTCCCTCCCTGCCTCTGTTTCTTCTTTAATCCATTCCTTCTTTCCTTCCCATCTGCTCCCTCCCTTCCTCCTTTCTTTCTTTCCTTCCTCCCCTCCTTCATTTCTTCCTTCTCCACTGCTTCCTTTATATGCATGCATATTTATTCAGTACTTACTACTTACTGAACATTATTATAGACCCACACTCCATGCATCAGATAAAATTATCACAAATTTCCCTAGATACAGTCAATCATGGACTCAAGTGTATATTTTGGCCTGAATAATGCTGCACTAAGTACCACATTTAATATCTTTCTCTTGTCTTTGCTGCTAAGTTCACTTTCTGATTATTGTTGCTTATTTGTGTATATTTTCTCATCTTCCATGAAGCTCCACTATTACAGACATTGTTATTCTTAACTAAACTCACAAAATATTGTTGAGAATGAAACACCTTTTCTTCCACGGTAGATCCAAAATGTTATGCCTTCTGTATCAACTGGAATTCTTTATCTATCCTGGATGGTATTAGATCATTTGATGAAATAAGATCATGGAAACTTTCTTTCTCAGTCTTGGAATTTATGGGTCTGTATAGCATATTTCCCCAAGGCAGAAGATAGAGTTCTCAGACTCTGTTACTACCTATGATTCTTTGTGCCTTCTTTTCACCTCTTAGCAGACATGACCAATTTCTGTGCCTCTTAAACAAAATCACAAATGCAGTCCCGACCTTTTGTGGGGGGCTTAAACAAAATCACAAATGCAGTCCCAACCTTTTGTGGGGCGACTCATTGGTAAGGAAATTTCTGAGAAGTGGCTTTGTGGCAAAATGTAGATTTCCACTGTCTATTCTGTGTCACATAACTGATTTGCATGATTAAAAATGTTTGATTCCACATTTCTGTTTTCATCCAGAGGGACAAAAATATGTTTAATCTTGACCAGAATCCACAGAATGAAATCAAACATACAGATCTCCTATTTAAGAACTGACCTGCTCCTGGAATAAAACAAACAAGTCAGGAAAAGGCAAATATGTCCTCCCCCTAGCCCATCATTTGCAATGGAATCCCAAGAGTCTTTAGAAAGAACGACTTCTGATTCTAGCCCAGGCACCAACTGAATTTATAATTTTAATTTTGGGTTTGTTTTTTTTTTTTGAGATTGAGTCTCACTATGTTTTCCAGGCTGGAGTACAGTGGTGTGATTTCTGCTCACTGCAATCTCCGCCTCCTGGGTTCAAGCAATTCTCTGCGTCAGCCCCCCGAGTAGCTGGGATTACAAGTGTCCGCCAGCATGCCCACCTAATTTTTGTATTTTTAGTAGAGACGGGGTTTCACCATCTTGACCAGGCTGGTCTTGAACTCCTGACCTCGTGATCCACCCGCCTTGGCCTCCCAAAGTGCTGGGATTACAGGCATGAACCACTGTGCCTGATGAATTTATAATTTTAGATTAGAGTCTCCTTTGTGTAACCTTTTTCTGTACTATCCATTGTCCTCACTCTAATGTGAATGACATTAACAAAAAAAAAACATCAAAATGCTTTTGTCTGGTAGTTGGGCCCAGACAAAATGGAGCACAGAAGCAGCAATGTCATAGCTAATAGGAAGTGATATGGCTTTCTTTCTTCATAAATAAAAGATAAAATGAAGAATAAAATATATTCACATTTTAGAAGTTTTAGCTTCATATACACAGTAGTAAAGAAATGGGAAGTTTTAAAAGATGAGATTTTCATATATTGAATTAACATTTATCGAATATTTAATATATTATACTACACTAGGTTCTGGGAATACAAAAATTTCAACATCAAAATAAAATGCAATCCTGACTGTAATGTGATGTGCGTTACTATAATTTATGAATTTTTGTATCTAAATTTAAATTGCAATGTTATGCTATATCTATTTTTTAAATTTCAGCATGTTTTTCTTCCAGATATGATTAATATCTCTCTTAATATTTGTTTACTCTTGACATCTTTAGGAGATAGTCAACTTCAACTGTCGGAAACTGGTGGCTACAATGCCTTTATTTGCTAATGCGGATCCTAATTTTGTGACTGCCATGCTGAGCAAGTTGAGATTTGAGGTGTTTCAACCTGGAGATTATATCATACGAGAAGGAGCCGTGGGTAAAAAAATGTATTTCATTCAACATGGTGTTGCTGGTGTCATTACAAAATCCAGTAAAGAAATGAAGCTGACAGATGGCTCTTACTTTGGAGGTTAGTAAAAAAGATGTAACTAAGATAAAATCTAAGCTGCTTGAGGTTTGTGTCTTTAAGAATTTTGGAGATGTCAGCATGTCACTTTGTTGGTTTTGAATGTAAACCTGTATGTGAATTCTGATAAAAGTGTCTATAACAGTGCTTTCACATTTCAGAGTCACAGGCTCAATGTGTGTGATTTACTACTACATTGGTTGAGGTATTATTTCAACCTCTTTATCTAGAACCAAATATTAGGGGCTTAAGTCAAATGGAAAGTATGATTTTCTTCTACACAAAAGTTCCAGGAGGGTTGGGAGGCTTTCTCTACAACAGTTTTTGGTGACCTAGATTCCATCCATCCATTAAAATGTTTTGTTTCATTTTTGTCATCTCCACAAGAGGAGCTGATTCCTCTCCGCCATGTTTTGTTATGGCTCATATAATGGGGCAGAAATAATAGAAGAAATGAAAAACTAACAGCTTCCGTTTGATATTCCTACTGCCCAGAAATTGCAAAAATAATTGCTATTCACATATGATTGCCCAGAATTGGTATAGGATCACCTTCAAGCCTAAGGAAGGCTGCAAAATGTAGCCTCTAGTTAGATGGCAATTTACCTTGCTAAAATTTTATGAAAATTTGTATTGTTTTTGTATTAGTTTGTTTGCACACTGCTGATAAAGACGTACCTGAAACTGGGAACAAAAAGAGGTTTAATTGGACTAACAGTTTTACATAGCTGAGGAGGCCTCAGAATCATGGCAGAAGGTAAAAGGTACTTCTTACATGATGGCAGCAAGAGATAATGAGAAAAAAGCAAAAGCAGAAACCCCTGATGAACCCAGCAGATCTCATGAGACTTATTCACTATTATGAGAATAGCATGGGGAAGACCGGTCCCTGTGATTCAATTACCTCCCCCTGGGTCCCTCCCATAACATGTGAGAATTCTCAGAGGTATAATTCAAGTTGAGATTTAAATGGGGACACAGCCAAATCATATTAATTTCCAATTTTTTTATTAAAATTATATATATAATACATATATATGTTTCTACACATGTACAAAAAATGCCTAGAAATTGATTTACTGGGTCAAACACTATTTGATCTTGTTTTTAGACTTAGACAAATAACACCTAATTGCTTCTTTGATAAGACTGCCTGTTTGCTTTGCCAATTCAGTTTTACTTTTGTCTTGTGTATTAGTCCATTTTCACACTACTATAAATACCTGAGACTGGATAATTTATAAAGAATAGATATTTAATTATCTCACAGTTCCACATAGCTGGGGGCGGGTCACCTCAGGAAACTTACAATCATGGCAGAAGGTGAAGGAGAGACAAGCAACTGCTTCACAAGCAGCACGAGAGAGAAAGCACAGGGGAAACTGCCACTTAAACCATCAGAACACCTGAGAACTCCCTCACCACCATGAGAACAGCATGGGGGGACCCGCCACCATGATCCATATCCCCTCAGGTCCTTGTCTTAACATATGGGGATTACAATTCGAGATGAAATTTGTCGGGGGGACACAGAGCCAAAACATATTATCTTGTTAATAAACAAAAGGACACACCCTAATTATCTGCATTTCTATTTGCATTTTTGCTATTTCTGGGAGGCTGAGAAATTTCTTGTTAGAGTTGCTAATTGCTTGGATTTATTTTTTTGTTCCTATTCTTTGCACATGTTTCCACTCTGTTGTTTGCCTTTGTAAATCTAATTTATAGGAATGTTCCAGATATATATTTTATATGATGCAACTATTTTCTCCTAATTTGTTGCTTGTTTCTTAATTTTGTTTATAATATCTGTCATTGTTTTGATTCTCATTATTGTTGATTTAAATCTGCCTATTTTTTTCTTAGGGCATTAAAGATTTTATGTTCTGTAAGTGGATTTTACACACTGCAAAATAATGGAAATGCTTTTCTTATCTTTCTTTCTTTTTTTTTTTAATGATAGGGTCTCCCTCTGTCACCTAGGCTGGAGTGCACTGGCATGATTATGGCTCCACTGCAGGCTCAAGTGATTCTCCCACCTCAGCCTCCCTAGTAGCTGGGACCACAGGCATATGCCTCCATGCCCTGCTTTTCTATTTTTTAATTTTTTGTAGAGAGGAGGTGTCACCATGTTACCCAGGCTGGTCTCTAACTCGTGGGCTCAAACAATCTTCCTCCCTTGACCTCCCAAATTTCTGGAATTACAGGCATGGCCACCACACCTGGCTGGAATTGTTTTTCACATTTTTATTTATTTTATTTAGTTTTACTACATTTTTTCAGGACTACTTTGTTATTATAATTTCTTATATTATATTATTATACATATTTTTGTTTTAGTATTAATTTAAAATGTAATTAATACATTTTTGTTTTAGTATTAACCCATCCAAAGTATGCTTGTGAGTATAATGTGAAATATTCTGTATTATCCCCATTTGTTCCCCCAAAGAGACAATTTTTCCAAAATCATTGATGAAGGAGTTCATCCTTTCTGCTAACTTTTGAAATGATTCCTTAATAATATGCTGACTTTAAGAAATGTTCCTCATTTACAGCTAAGATATATTTATTAGGAAAATTTTTGAATTTTGGTAAGTGCGTTTTTTGACTGTATCAAAATAACCATGAGGTTATAACCCATTAATCTATTATGACTGAGTGAAACATATTAACTCAAATTAATTAACTTCTTTAAATTCCAGCTCACCAATTAAAGACAATTTTGAAGTTCCATTTTGAAACTTTCCATTTCTTCCCACTCTTCTTTCTTGTTAAAATGATTCTGTGTTGTCTCATTGGCCTCTTAGCCTTTTGTGCAGGTTATTTTAAGAAAAACGCCGATTAGGAAAAACTATGAATCTAACAGGATCTGCTTTAGAAAGTACAGAGAATTAATGTTTGAATGAAGGGAAAAAAGAAAGAGAGTATTGAAGTTAGATGGGATAAGAAATGAAAGTATACAGTTGATCTTGAGAAACGTGGAGATTAGGTCTACCAACCCCTACTCTGTCAAAAATCTGCATATAGTTTTTGACTCTGCAAAATCTTGACTAATAGCAGCTTACTGTTGGCTGGAAGCCTTACCAATAATATAAATAGTTGATTAAAACATATTTTGTATGCTGTATATATTTGATACTGTATTCTTACAATTAAGTTAGCTAAAGAATATAAAATATTTAAAAATTAATAAGGAAGAGAAAATATATTTACTATTCATCATAATAAATAGATCATCATAATAAATGGGTCATCATCAGGGTCTTCATCCTCATCATTTTTATGTTGAGTCGGATGAGGAGGAGAAGGAAGAGAAGGGGTTACTTTTACTCTCTTGCGGTGGCAGAAGCAAAAGAAAATCCACCTGTAAATGGACTTGCGTAGTTTAAACCTGTGTTAAGTAGTGAACTGTATATGTATAGGCCAGGTTTGGGGATAAATTTGTAGGAGGAAAAGTCTTTGAGTCAATTTCTGGGGATTTGATGAATATGTAGAAGAAACATTTGAAAAGAATTTTTTGAAGTGTTATTATGCACAAAGACGGGATTTGTGAAGTCGACATATGTTTTGTGAATTCAAAGGAGCTTTTAAATACCTTACAGTTAATTTGGTAATATGACTAAGGTTTTATACAAGGACTGGAATATGTTCCTCCCTGGATTTATGTGGGTTAAACTATTAGTACAGTGAATCACATCAATGAATATCCTTATGTTAAACCATAAGATCATTTCTGAGATTAAAACTATTTTTTCTTGATGTATTATTTCTTTAACATAGTGTAGCATCTCCGTCCATGAGTGAGATTGGTCTACATATAATGTTGTTTTTATTGGGGTCATTTTTGTGATCTATTAGATGACTTTGGATATCAGGTTATGCTCACTTCTTAGAAAGAATAATGAAACTTTTTCAAAAAGTATTCTCTGTTTTAGAGAAGTTTAAACAATCTAGGCATTACCTGTTATTTGAAAATTTGATAGGCTTCACAAATAAAGCCACTTGCATTTGATTCCTTGTATTTTATGGTTATTAAAATACTCCGGTTTTCTATTTCTTTAGGAGTAATCATTCAGTTCATCTAATTCAATTGTTCATAATACTGAGTACACATTACTATCTCCTGGGAAGCTTTAAAAAAATTTGATGCCAATGCCAAAAAAGCTACTATATATTTTCTCATATAATTGAGTGGAGTTGAAATCCAATTACCAGTATGTTGGCAAAAATCCCCAGATGATTCAAAAGAATTTTTAAATTAAAAACAGATAGTTACAGAGACAGAGAGTGAGAGACATGAAGATATTGATATAAATATATGGTTCCCTTTTTACTTTTAAACTTTTATTTCCTTTTTATTACAGGGGGTTTGTATTTACAAAATTATTGCAAAGATCATACAGATAATTCCAATGTAAACACCTTGCATTACTATGGTATGTTGGTCAAAACTAATGAACCAACATTGATTAACTGTTAAAGTACTTAATAAAGTGCATTTTTCATTAAAATTTTTCCAATCTTTACCCAATGTCCTTTTTCTGTTCAGAATCCGATACGTAATACCACCTGACATTTAGCAGTAATGTCTTCTTTGGCTACTTTTAATCATTAAAGTTTCTTAGAATTTCCTTCTTCTTTAGTAATTTGAAGCACTGGTTAAGGTATCTTGTAGAATGTCCCTCAGTTGGGATTTGTCTGATGCTTTTCTCAAGATTAGATTGGAGTAATTGTTTTGGGGAAGAAAAACAAGACTTAAAGTACCATTCTCATCACATCATATTGAGAGTGCATACTATGAATGTATCTTATTGCTGTTGATGTTAACCTTAATCATCTAACTTGAGTTAGGATTTGTAAGTCATCTCCATTGTAAAGTTAATTTTTCTTCCCCTCTCATTCCATACTGTACTCTTTGGAAGATAGTCACCACACACAGCCCACAAGTAAGGAGTGGAGAGTATTATTCCACTTTCTTAAAGACCAAATATGACATAAAT